GTCGTCAGTAAAATTACGTGTTTGTGGGCGGGGTCAAGTTGTTCGCTGCTGGCCAACGTAGAACATATGTTGAAATTATGAAAATGTGTCACCCCGTGACGAAGTGGGATTCGAATTACTAACGACTTGTTTAGGCTGTAGAGAGTCGATTCTTTATTTTGGGAGACAATAACTTTATTTATTATGCACTTTTGGCTTTTCAACTTTGCTGATCGTTTACATTCACATACAGCTCATTACACATTGCATGAAAGGCAATATTGGAAATGGCATAATAGGGGCACTTTAACTTTTAACGACACTTCTCAGAATACGTACCTGAAGCAACGTAATACAGACACAGCAATACGTGCCTATATCAGCGTAACAAAAACGTGCCAGAGTCACGTATTGAACCTTCCACGCATTTAGTGCCTCTCACGGGACGTTTCACTTTAAAACTGCCGCGAAACGTGCAGTAAGGTACGTAAAAACAGTGCTGCAGAAATATATTTAAAGGCACGTATTTCGATTAAGACAACAGTGACATCACTGTCAAAAATGTTTGTCATACATTAAAAACCTGTTAATTGGTTAAATGTAAGTCGCATATACAGTGAGAATTGTAAATGGTTTAACATAGCAATATATGTAATGTTATTGTAACAATTAAATTACTGTTGTTTTCAGGTAAAAACTATGATTTACATAAATTACAGTGAAAGATAGTAAAGGACATTCTGAGAATGTCCTGCATCACATTTAAATAAATTTCATTATTTTTGCTAGCAGTAATGTAGGGTGTTTTGTTACATTTTCTTCATCTTACGTTCGTTATGTTAATGTTTATTGCATTTCTAGTGTCGTGTGTAACCCTGATGATTGAATGGTGAATTTCTGGCAACCACAGCTGCCATTTATGTATCTCTGTTAGATATTCATTTTAAAATGGCATGCTATTTTTAGAGTTTAGAGACCCAAAAATTAAAATTCTTTCATTAATCACTCGACCTCATGTTGTTCCAAATTCATGCCAAAGCTCTCTGGCCCTCCATAGGCAGCAACTACCACGTTCAAGGCCCAGAAAGGTAGTAAGGACATTGTTAAAATAGTCCATGTGGCATCAGTGGTTCAACTTTAATTTTATGAAGCTACAAGAATTATTTTTGTGCACAAAAGAAAACAAAAACCTCTCTCCAGCCATCTTCTTTCAGACTGTGTGTGAGAGCGAACTGTCGTCCGGATGCTGCAGCTCACTTTGCCCTCGATGTGTTAACATATGCAGAGGGCATTTTGCTGCAAATTGGTGATAAGAGAGCCAGGTTGTGCAAGCTGTTTATGTCCTTGTGCGGAGGTGAAAAAAAGCAACATTCATCTGCACACCGTTAACACATGCAAGCTGTGATTACATACACAAGAACATGTTAGTTGATGATAAAAACCTTATTAAAAGTAGGGGATGCTGAGAAAAGTGATTTTCCTTTAAGAACAACATGCATAAATGCTGCATGAATTGTGGCTTCAGTCTGTAATACAGGCCTGTGTGAAAAGTTTCATCAATATTCATTTATGAAGGTACATTTTTATTTCAGTATCATAGCCTTTATTAAATACTATACAGCATTCAGAATGATTGACATGATTGAAACTCAGCAAGAGTTGAAATTGGGCTTTTTCTATTGTCAAAAAATGAAAAATTCCCAAATGAGCTACAAATGTACTGCGACACAAGTCAACACAATTCTGTGAAATTGAAATATTTCAGGGATATTCTTCAAGAAAAGAAGACTTTTCCCACTGTGAATTGATTGGATCATAAAAAGTGGACATTATTGTACATAGTAGTATAGAGTCAGGTCTGAATAAAATTCATGCAAGACTTCTCAAGAAATAAGTTAAGAAATATCTTAAGATAAATTTCAGGAATGTTCCTAAGTGCAATTGGGGAAAAACAAAGTTCAACACTTGTCATGGCACTTTTTATATGTGGCTAGTGTTATGTTGTATGCTTAATATTTGAAGCAGCCCAATAATTCTATTAAACACATTACCTTCTTTGGGAATATCAGACAAGTTGGAAGTTATTCTAACTTTAACAGGTTATTTACAATGATTTTTAAGATCATTCTTTTCAGGAATTCAAATTCTTCTTTAGAACAATCTTTAAAAAAGATGAGAACATATTTTTAAGAATGCAGAATATTCTTAATTCCTTAGTAAGAAAATAAGAAGAAAATAACAGTTAAGAAGAATTGTATTCTATTCAATTAAAATTAATTTCATTCTAGTATTTTTTTGGAACAGCATACTGTTGAACAGCGTACAAAAAGACCAGGTACACTAAGCAAGAAGTAGAATCGATTTTAACCCAATAAAAACCCTCCACATTAGGGCTATGAATCTTTGGGTAGACAGCGAATCGATTCATAGTTTTTCGATTCGATTCAAGAACGATTCAATTCGATTTGATTCGATTAATGATTCGATTCTGCATTCTTTATGTAACGGGGCTGACGAGACGTGAGACGTGTGGATCCATCTGCAAGCTTTTATTAAAGAGATGTGGTAAACAGGCAGGGTCAGACAGGTATATGGCGGGCAAAACACAAGAATAGTCCTAGGGCTAGCATAGGTCACCGATCGGCAGACAGAATCACAGGGGCGAGACGAGAGGGAAAAATCCAGGAAAACAGGCAAAGATCAGATACCGCAGAAACAGGCAAGGCAAAACAAGGAAAACACGGAGACTCGGAAAGAGGTACAGGCTAAACAATACTCAGCAGAGAAAGGTGGTTAGAGTGGGTGTTATATAGTGAGTGAGGTGAAGTGAGGTGAAACAGCTGTGTGCAATGAGTGCAATCAGTGCAGTGTGCAAACCGTGCAATGAATGATGGGATATGTAGTCCGGGGTGCTATGCAACAGTTTGTGTTGTGCGAGAGTCAATGTAAAGGAAAGGGTGACCTCTGGTGGTGAATAAACGGAAGTCCATGGACCGAATTCGTGACACTTTAAGTGCATTCACAGGATTATTTAAATGCTTCCCCTAAATTCTTTAAATGCTTAGTCAGGGGACAAATCACACAGCAGCATTTATGTTATGAACAATAGGTTAGAAAAAAAACACTTTTGTCCATTGTTAGATGCTAGTTTAATAATGCTATAGCATGACATGGCATATGTAGAAATGTATGTGAGCCAAGATTTTTTAAAAAGAGCTTTAAAAGTATTATGTATAGGCTAACATTTTGTCACACCAGGGGTGTAGCCATCATTTCAGAAGTGACAGAAATGTCAAATACAATAATTTTATGTAAGCCTATGTATGTATGTATGTATTATTATTATTTTTTACAAGGAATTATTTTCTTATCTATTACTTTGAATTTGCTATAAGAAATCAAAAACACTGCTGGACAATAATCAATCATTTGTAATAATAATTTTTCCTAATGGCAATTTTATGATTGTTTTATATACTACAAACAATTATTTAAATTTTCTGCAGAGAATAAGGTAGAAAATATACTTTATAGTTTCTGTACTGTAATAAATGATATGTCAATTAGCACTGCATCATTCATAAATTGTATTTATTTATTGTGTTTATTGTCTTAACGTTTCAGTTCATTCGGCTGTTTATTCATGGGGAAGTCATGGCCTAATGGTTAGAGAGTCGGACTCGTAACCCAAAGGTTGTGGGTTCGAGTCTTGTACCGGCGGGGATTGTAGGTGGGGGGGAGTGAATGTACAGCGCTCTCTCCCACCTGCAATACCATGACTGAGGTGCCCTTGAGCAAGGCACCAAACCCCCAACTGCTCCCCGGGCGCCGCAGCAAAAAATGGTGTGTTCACTGCTGTGTGTGTGCACTTTGGATGGGATAAATGCAGAGCACTAATTCCTAGTATGGGTCACCATACTTGGCCACATGTCACTTCACTTCACTTTTTTCAGCTTAGCTGCAGCGATAGATGTCTTTGTCCATATTAGGCATTTCCTGGTACGTCTAAAGTTCTATGAGTGTGAGATCACTTCTCTTTCAGTGCGAAAACTTCATCTCATTTTCATAAAATAAAATGCTATAGTATTTAACTTTTCCTCTCTATCGGCAAATGATGATTCTGAAAGAAAACGCGCCTGATGTCTGTTTGCTAAAGCAACGAACTCTACTTTCATGCATCTGATTATCAGATAAACCTTGTGCACTTATTTCAAGGTTGTTGTTAAAGCTGTGGTTATTTCAACGGTTTCCTTCGTACATTCGGTTCAACGACATTGTTAAAACACATTTATCATTCAATGTGCGTATGCTTTAGACACTAAAATTTTTGCTCTGTCCATGCAATAAATGCGCAGCCTTCGACTGCTGCTCAGGTAATGCCGTCGGTATGACCGAAAGCCATTGAAAAACTACAGAGAAGCAAAACTACTTCACTTTAGCATTACTCGCCACGAGTAGGCCACGAGAGATCACACATCAATTGCTCAAAAAATGTGTCGGTGAGACGAACGGAGCACGAGCGCAATCCTGTGACAGTCACTGCAGGCGGGAAATAGTGGAGTGCGGGAAGGAGAGATGCGAGGCACGAACACTGTTCAAGGTCTCCATTAATTCCTGCTTGTAGTAATTTAATGTGTATATATTTTGAAAGCATTGAATCGCTATAGAAATCGCAATTTATTCAATTCTTAGCGTTTTCAATCGATTATTGTCCGAAATTGACGATTCACGATTCAAAAATCTATTTTTCAAGATCGATGCATTGCATCGTCAGGGTTTGTAATCGATGCATCGAGAAAACGAGTGAATCGTTACACCCCTACTCCGCATGCAAAATTGGTTACTATGTTGATTTTGACCCATAATGACTGTCTCAGGCCTAGAAGCTTGTTGCCATTATTACTCCACTTTCTTGGTCTTCCTTTTCCCTGAAAAGAAGCAGAGAGATGTGAAATGGAGAGCGTTGGATGAAAAGCCTCTCTGTCATCTGATTCACTCAGTGTTTTGTGTGTTTTCTGCAGAGTGAGTACTCAAGTGACTCAGAGAGTGAAGACAATTTCCTCCTGATGCCTCCGAGGGACCACCTGGGCCTCAGTGTTTTCTCCATGATCTGCTGTTTCTGGCCCTTGGGCATCGCAGCTTTCTACCTGTCTCACGAGGTGAGAAGATCTCTATCACCATCTCATATGCCAACGTAAATGCCAATGTTCAAGAAGTAGTTACATTTATTAATACTGATAAAATGAAGACTAACGATACACTCTTTAAATAAAGGTTCTAAAAGCAGGTTTTCACAGTGATGCCATAGAACAGGGGAGCCCAACCCTGCTCCTGGCGATCGACTCTCCTGCAAAGTTCAGCTCCAACCCTAATCAAACACACCTGAAGCAACCAATTAGGGTATTCAGGATCACTTAAAAATGAAAGGCAGGTGTCTTTGATTAGAGTTGGAGCTAAACTTTGCAGGACAGTCGATCGCCAGGAGCAGGGTTGGGCACCCCTGCCATAGAAGAACCATTTCTGTTTCCCCAAACAACCTTTCAGTGAACAGTTCTTAAAAGAACCATTTTTTTAGTGTGAAGAAGATTGTAAAAGTCTAAAGAACCCTTTTCCACTATCCACCTTATTTTTCACGTAAAAATGGCCATTTGTTAATTTTATGGGTCTTGCTTCCGGTCTCATCTGCTTCCAGCTATTTTTAGCTGTACAAAACCACTCCTTTTGCTGCTTGATATTGCAAATTGGTGTGTCTTACCAGATTATTTTAGTGTATTATTTTAATTATGAACAGTTTTATGCAAGTTATGCAAACAGTTTTACCGTTTACTGCACGTTGTTATTCTTCTATAGCGGCTAATCAACAGGAAGTCTCGCCCATAGGCCTACATCCGCGTTTAGGAATAAGGTGGATAAAGAATCTTTTGTGGAATGGAATGGAATGTTCTGTGGATGTTTAATGTTTTTATGGAACCATCGATGCCAGTAAAGAACTTTATTTTTAAGAGTGTAGACTGTTTACAGTTGCCTAGCAACATATCAGAACTGATGCAAGGTCACAGGGGTTCATACAGTATAATGGCTACTTTACAACATAATTTGTCTGAACAATCTGTTTTATAATAAAGCAGTAAGCCAGAAGAGGCCATGAGTTGCTTTACAAAGGGTATTAAATAATGATTTTTTTTTTGGTGCAACATTTTTGGAGAAATTGTTAGATAGGTAGAATTGCTTTTTTGTACATTCCTGTGAGAAGTTCACACAGAGTTGCATCCATTGTGCAGAACCAATGTAATTTATTTAAATTAATTTATGTAGTAACAACAACAACAACAACAACAATAATAATAACAATTATTATTATTATAATTTTTTGTCTGTGTTATTATTGTTATCCGTCCATTTTCCAAACTCAGGCAGGGTTGTTATTATTATTATTATTATTATTATTCATTCAAAACCATTCTATTTGATTTCTTTTTTTTAAATTAATGTATGTAGTAGTAGTAGTAATAATAATAATAATAATAATAATAATAACAACCCTGCCTGAGTTTGGAAAATGGACGGATAACAATAATAACACAGACAAAAAAATTATAATAATAATAATTGTTATTATTATTATTATTGTTGTGGTTATTATTATTATTATTAATATTAACTCTAAATAATAATATAATAATAATAATAATATCACATATAAAATTATTATTATTATCATAACTACATATTCATATCTGTTGTACTTCATTTTTAATTATAATTTCTATACTACTACTACTACTAATGTGCCTCACTTTGGAGAATGGATGGATGATAAATAACATGAAGATAAATTATTATGGTACAGTAGCACTTTACTTAAAGCCTTTATGTATAATGCATTATAAAGGGTTATTAAAGGGTATAATGCATTATAATTATTCATAATGTGTGTTGCAATACATCATATCTTGCCGTAAATAATTATAACCGAAATTGAAATGCATAGTGTAACAATTAATTGATAAGCGTGTATTAACTGTGGTTACAGTTATTCATGAGATTGCACAATGCGTTATAAGGCATAAGTCATGCATCATACATAAAGGCTTTAAGTAAAGCATTACCGTTATGATTGTTATTATAACTCCTTCAGATTAGAGTTTTATTGATACTTTAACCATACTTGTCCCCTATTATGTTTGATAACCCTGGGCTTTGAAAACAAAGTCCTGAGGACAAACTAAAACTGTGGAAGGATGCATAGCTAAACGGTAGATTTCCACAACTCACAGTGCACACTGTCAGGGAAAATCCGGTCATTATACGTCATTGAGCGTTTAAAAACAAATATCCATTATAGTCTAATGTATGAAGCAGGGAAAAAGATGGAGCATTCCCGGGTTTGTTTCATAAAGGTGACTATAGTATGCTGCAGTGTCAAATGTATTTATAGCTTACCGCAATGCTCTTGAGAGGAGAGAGATTGCTTACAGAAAGAGTGCTGAGAGAGAGAGAGAGAGGTCATTCGCCTCAGACGGGAACTGTACAGAGAAGTGGTAATTGCAGCATTTTCACTCATTCCCTCTCTTATTTCAAAACATTAATACAAAACAGGATATTATGGTTTTCATCTCCTTTTGTTCATCTTCCATTTCACCTCCAAATCAAATAAAAATGAAACCTATATTTTTTGCATCTTCAATACTGTTGAACATGACACTTTTAAAAAAGCAGCTTAACTGATATACATAATATAAACAATCTATTCAATTATGCAATAATTTACAATAAATTAGTCTTAAAATATCTTAAAGGGGTGGTTGATTGCGATTTCACTTTTTTAACGTTAGTTAGTGTCTAATGTTGCTGTTTGAGCATAAACAATATCTGCAAAGTTACGATGCTGAAAGTTCAATGCAAACGGAGATATCATCTTTTAAAATTCTGGCAGATTAATGCCTACAAAAACGGCTGGTAAGGGACTACAACGAGTTACTTCCCGGGTTCGTGACATCACAAACCCAGATAAATCCCGCCCTCGGGAAAAGGCAGCAAAGGGGGCGAGGCCATGCTGCGCTGCTTTAGAGAAGAGGAAGAGAAAACTAGAGGTGCATTAAAAAATCTATTCAAATATGAATCGCGATTCTGTCTTCTTAACGATTCTAATGGATTCACAAGTTTCGAAATCAATGTTCTAAAGCAGCAGTTCTTAATACTGTTCCTCGCGTTTGCTGCTCTGCATCTCTGTCTCTCTCTGTCTCTCTCTCTCTCTCTCTCTCTCTCTCTCTCTCTCTCTCTCTCTCTCTCTCTCATTCAGCTCAGCTCCAACAATGAACTGTTCCAGTTACACACTTATTTTCACATAGCTATGAGAAACGTTAAACATGGACGTGCGTGCAGTTGCCGTACTGTATTAAAGATTTAACAATAAACATAGGCCTACCATTAAAAGCCATGATTGCACAGGTTCTGCATGATCCTCTTCAATAATATCCTCTGCTTCTCAATCGGGCTCAAACTGATAAGCGATATCAACGAAGCCGGTGTTTACAATACAACCGGAGGCCGCTGAGGTGAGGGGCGGTACGTTTAGACGCGCACTAGAAGCGGTTTAGCCAATCACAACACACTGGGCTAGCTAACCAATCAGAGCCCATCGCCTATTTCTGAGGGCGGGGCTTCATAAAACAGGAAATGATCAGCGCGTTTCTCAGAGAAGGGACAGAGCGATGTGGAATAAAGATAAATTATGTGAAAAATAATGCGGTTTTTTTTAACTAAGCATTAACACATGTTAGACTGCACCCCATAAACACAATCAAGCCTAGACAAAAACAGTGAACCACCCCTTTAATGGTCCCAAAACAGGCCTCATTTTCATAAATCGTAATTTCTTTTGATTTTGGGCTGAAATATGTCCTGGACATGTGCTTGATGGGTTTTGTGTGATTCATCGTATGCTTAAACTTTCAGTGTTCTCTTTTGACACTGGCTTTAAAAGCAGTTTATGGCTCTCATTCTCTGTGTTTCTCGCTCTGTTTCTCTCCGTCTTTCTCTTTCATGCGGTACATCACGACTCAACACCCACAGCTCTCTAATTCTCTGCCTGAAAAAAAATATAGAAATCTTTTCTCAGCCTGGTTTTTTAAATCTAAGCCTACACCAAAATCAATTCACTGCAATCCTTCTACAAACCTCAACAGATTTACATTATTATTGAATGTTTTATCAAGTAAAAATGCCACACAAGCAGCTAATTTATCTCTAAATATCTGAATGCATTATTGCATATCTTCTAAAAGATGCTAGATACATCTTGTAGAATATATACAGGCTGTAGTAGTGAGTATATTGTAGACATTAAATTATGCTGCTATTTTGTGAATGCACTGTAATAATATGAATGCTTGATTTTCTAATCCAGGTGGTTGGAATAAATTAATTTCTTGGGGGTTTTGTATAAGAGTGAGTCACGGCAAGAGCAGTTTCCTGTGAGCTGTGCAAATTTTCAGACAAAGTTAGTAACTCACAGTTTTGCACGTGATTTCAGCTGCAGAGCTTTTAATTGGTAATTTTTTTACTTTTCTTTTAATTAATGATGTGGTTTTGAGCAATTACCCAGCAATCAATAGAACACAAACTCTAGTTACACTGTAAGTCTGTCTCATCAAATCAACATTTAAATAAAACTTTAATGTGTGAAACAACCTCACAAATGCAGAGATATGATGAAATTTCCACGTTATAGAAGTGGTCAAATCGTACAATTAATAAACATCCCAAAAGAGGATCATTTAAAAAACAAAACAAAGTTTATTTAAAGGGGTCATATGATGTGATTTCAAGTTTTTAAGGGGCGTTACATTTCCGACGAGTGCTTGCGGTGTTTGGCCAATCACGATGCACTGGGTCAGCTGGTGCCACCTCATGCTAACCCTGGTCTTCCCTTTTATGATTTTTTCTTTCTCTGCTCTAGACTTCGGGTATAATCAAATAAAATTCGCTTAAATTGCACTTTTTAGCAATTAAACTAACGTCAATGCTTTGAATTCAGAGTTGTGTGTGTTGAAGGCTCAGTCTAAAACAGTTTGAACAGTCATGTATTATACAGGTGCATCTCAATAAATTAGAATGTCGTGGAAAAGTTCATTTATTTCAGTAATTCAACTCAAAT